TGTGCCCTCGCGCTGGATGATGCTAGTGTTTTGCCATGTTGACTGCATCTCTCTTGAGAGAGAAGTACAGCAGCTGTGGCTGCCACCACCCCTTCTCTTTCTCCGTCATCTCAGCTCTGCCCGTTCATTTCTATTTTACTGTTTATTTTAGTCCATGAGCAACCCCAGGTGCCGACAATATAGAGTGAACGTATGTGTGAGTGTGGGTAGGGAACTTCGTGGAAATGTCTGTTCCCATGATGGAGGCTAGCAAAATGGTTCTTGCTTCTGCCACTATTTGCAGTGCTGCCTCAGGGAATCTTTCTCATATGAAAAATATAGCAACAGTTACCTCACCAAGATCATTTAGAAGGTGGGGGGAATGTTGTCACTTTACCCATCACTGTTACTTGCAGAAGGAAGTGTAACAAGACATTTCCACATTTCCCTGTCAGCTCCTAGCTAGGCCTTTTCATTTATGCTATTTGTAACAGATGTCAAATGGTACCTCACTGTTTTTAATTTATTTTGTGTCCATGGGTGTGTGTGTGCGTGTGCAAGGTGCCCACGGAGGCCAGAAGAATGTGTGGGATTCCCTAAAGCTGGAGTAACAGGTGGTTGTGAGCTGCCCTACATGGGTACTGGGACATGAATGCAAGTCTTACGGAAGAACAGCAAGGACCCTTAACCACTGCGCAGTCTCTCAGCCTTTGTCTAGTTAGCAGTGAGGCAGAATAGCTTCTCACACATCCGCTGGTTCCCAGATTTGCCCTTTGATCCCTATGCTCATATCATCTGCCACTGTTGTGTCTGGCTGTGTTGGCTTGCTGGCTGTGCTGTTGTACCTCTTCTGCTTTCACATTTACCTTTTTCCTCAGCCTGTGTGTGTGTCTGCATGTATGTGTGCATTACAGTGTAATATATTTATTTTTATGTGTGTGAGTGTTTTACTTGCTTGTGTGCATGCCTGGTACTCTCAGAGGCCACAAAGGGATACCAGATCCCCTGGGTCTGCAGTTACAGATGGTTGGGAGCTGCCACTTGAGTGCTGGGAACCAAACCTGGAGGAGCCAGGTGGTGCTCCTAACTGCTGAGCCCTCTCTCCAGCCCTTTTTTCTCTTTAAGAATGCTCTGCATGGTGTGAGTGAATACTTGAATGCTCTTTTTTCCTGCTGTCCTCTGTGTCTGTGCTTCCCTCTCCTCGTTTCCTGAGGCCAGCTTACTGGCCTTCCCCTCTCTGCGCTTTGGAAAGCTGTTAGGCTGTCTTTTTTGACAGGATCTCACTGTAGTCTCTGCTGGCCCAGAACCCACTTTCCAGTGGTGTTTCAAGGTTTTTTTTCTTCTTTTTTCCAGATTGAGTAAGTTTTGACAAGTTATATGTTGTATATAGGTTGTATATAGGTTCATCTGGAGTTTTCTAATGACTTCTGATGTTGCTCTTGGGTTTCCACCCTGTCAGCTCCCAGCCTGTTGTCAGTGTGTTCCTCAATTTGTCCTTGGGTTTATTTGTGTCTTCCTTGATTTCCTGACTGGTCTGATTTAGCCTTCCTATTTCTGTTGTTATTGTTGTATATTATTTCATTTCTGCCTTATTTTGATTTGTACCCCACTAGCCATTATTACTGCTGATTTGCACAGTTAATTCATATTAAACTTATCATATTGAGTACTTTTTTTTTTGTCTTTTTTGAGCAAAAATCCATTTGTGATATTATTTTTGTTTAAAATGTCCTTTTTTGTTGTTTGCTTTTTAAAAAGGATCACTCTTGCATGATGTTTTATTTGGGCCAACAGAAAGGGGTAACATTTTCCAAAGCCTATGCTTAATACACTCCATCTGACTAATCTGTCAGTAGGCACTCTCTTCTATCTCACTGGCTGCTTTTGAGGTGTGTGTGTGTGTGTGTGTGAAAGAGTTTGTGTGAGTGTGTATAAAAGAGAGAGAGAGTGTGTGTGTGTGTGTAGATGCCCTTCCATTAGGTTAATTTGTGCCTGTTGAGTCTCTGGAATCTGGAAAATTCTTAGCCATTATCTACTTTATCTGTTTGGTTTTTATGTGTCGTCTGCTCTGCAGGATTGTCTATTGACATGGGAGCCAGAGTCATTCTGGTCTTCCTGTCTTAAGAGATTTTAGGCTATGGAGTGTCACACATTCAAGGGGGTAATTTTGAAGCCATATGAGATGGAAGTTAGAAGTTTTTACAGTATCATACAGAACACCCATGAGGCTATCTGTACCTAAATGGTAGACTGTAAGCAGAGGCACAAGTCAGCTAACCAGCTGCCTCCTGGGGGCTGTAGGGCTACAGTGAGAGAATTGGGTGAACCCACCTGGTCTCAGTGTTTAATAGATGCCCTCCTTTAAGGAGAGATGTGATGGAAGTGTGGTGTCTCTGTGACCATGGCCGCAGAGCAACCATCCAAGAGGTAAGAAGATAATTTGGTTCAGCATGACTAAGTAGCTGTTGTTGGTTCAAACTTGAGGCATCTGACCCCAAGTAGGCATAGGCAGGTGCGCCATAAGTTGGTGAAAACTTCTCTAATGGTAAATAACTCAATCTCATATGTACAATAAAGTTTAAGAAGTGACTACATCAAAACTCTTTGTAAAGTATATGTGACATCTTCCATAAAGATAGATTCTGTAGATTGACAAGCTCGTGATAAGGGTCCAGTAGAGGATAGGGCAAAGGTCACCAGGCTATTAACCGTGGCAGCTCCCAGCCTTCTGAGAGAATGACAGGTTGTTCATCCCTTTCTTAAAGAAACAAGCTAACATATTTAGCATTTCTGGGTCCCCAAATGCTTATTTGTGAGCACAAGGACCTCCATGCCACCCATATGTGACAGCATGAACCCCAGTGAAGATGCAGGAGGGTGAATTGAGTGTTTGCTGGATTCTCAAGTGCTTCATGTGCTGGGACACTACTAAACACCAGACCTTGGTTGTCTCAGTCTCACATTTAAGGAATAAACTGTCAACATTCTGTTACAGGTGAAAAACTGTGTAAGACGTGACAGCTGGAGTAAGGTGGCAAAGAGCCCACACTTGGGAAACTGCAGAGATGTCATTCTGGCCTGGACAATCTTGGCTCTAAATGTTGTGCTTTACCAGATTCTTTTATGACGTGGTGTCCGCTGACATTTCCTGTTTTTCTTTTTCTTTTTTTTTCTTTTCTTCTTTTCTTTTTTTTTGCAATGCTGTGGACTAAGCCCAAGGTCTTGTGTATACTAGGAAAAGTGTTCTACCGTAGAGCCAGATCCCCAGCCCCTGTGTTTAATGACTTTTGCCTGGAAAGGGGGAATCTCAGAAGAAACCTAGGCCATAGGCCTGTGGGTAGGGACATTCTAAGCCTCAGCATAGATCATTCCTTCTTAGCAGAAACCCTTGCACACGTGGCAATGCACATTGTCACTATAGTCTTCTTTTTGCCTCCTTGATTCCATTCCTCAGTTGGCATAGGTTTGACCCTTCCACATCCAGCCTCCAGCACTCAGTGTACTGACGGGGTAATGACAGTGACAGTTTTATTGAGTACTCGTGTCTGAGGTGCTTCACCCAGATCACCGTAATAGGACATTTTACCTATCTTTTAAATTCTCACAGTCATCCTGAGAGACGGGTGTTGCTGCACCTAGCCTGCAGGTGAGGAGCTGTGTCTTAGCTGTTTGACTTTCCTTGGGCTAACCTCTTCAAGCAGTGGGACCTGGATCTGAGCCCATCTCTCTGATGCAGAGCATGTGGGCTTGTCAGTTTAGCATACTGCTCTCTGAAGATTCCCATAGTTGAATCAGATTTCAAATAGAGTTCACTTACCTTGACAGATTGCCAAGAAGCCTGCCCCAGCGTGAAGGGTTACCGCCAGAGGAGCAGCACCAGTGGTGGGTGTGTCTGTTACACAGTAGACAATTCTGCTGTGGGCCTGCTTCTCCAGCAGACAGCCTCCATCCTGTTACAGCAATGAGATAACTTCCATATATCTACTGGTAACACAGTAGTTGTCTTGATTGACCCCAAATTGGTAGGCTGGCTTGTTAGATTCAAGCACTTAACATGGGCAACTTGTGCTGACTTTGAACAACAGTAAACATTTTCTTCTTAATGGAATGTGGAACTGGATGGTAAGGTCTAGCCTAGTGCAAACTGACTTGACTGTTGTTTCTGTTGACAGAGGCTTTGCAGCCTCATCCTTTAGACTCTGGGCAATAGCTACAGCTTTCCTTTTATTTCTGAAACTGTCAGCATGTATATATACTCTAATAGCTTGTTCTCCTAAGTGTGCGGGCTGGAGAACGGGCTCAACAGTTGAGAGCTTGTATTGTTCTTGCAGAGAACCTAAGTAGTTTCCAGCTCACAGCTGCCTGTAACTCCAGCTCCAAGAGTGTCCAGAGCCTCTGTCTTCCACAGGCACTCCTGTACACACAGAGCCCATAATTTGAAATAAACTCTCTCTCTCTCTCTCTCTCTCTCTCTCTCTCTCTCTCTCTCTCCCTTCCCCCCTCCCAACTCTTTTTCCTAAGACAGGATTTCTTTGTGTAGTCCTGGCTGTCCTGGGCTTGCTCTGTAGACCAAGCTGACCTCAAACTCACAGCTATCTGCCTGCCTCTGCCTCTGCCTCTCGAGCACTGAGATTACAGACATGCACTACCACACCAGCTGAAATGAACTCTTAAAAAGGGAATTATATTTTACATTTTGAGTAATATCGAAGTTCCCCCTTAGCCCTTGAGTACAACAGTGTAGCTGCTATAGAATTGTCTTTTGGTCAAATGACTTATAATTCTCTTGGTTGTTTTTAATGCAGACAAAATATTTTGGTTCTGGAACTTTAGGTCCTTGTAATGTGATAGAGTGCCATTAATAGTGACTATTGTAGGGGTAAAAGTCGATGGTTCTTATTAGTTGGCATTGAGAAAATGAATGTGACTATATGTGATAGCAGAGATTGGGGGGCAGTGATTGATAGGTGCCGATGAATTGATGTCACACTGTTACATTATTGGTTTATCTCTTCTTTCAGACGGGGCGAATTGACAAATCCTACCCTACAGTATGTGGCCACACAGGACCAGTGCTGGACATAGACTGGTGTCCACATAATGATCAAGTCATTGCCAGCGGCTCAGAGGACTGCACTGTTATGGTAAGTCCCCAGGATGTGCAATGAGACAAACCATTGGGACTTAGCTCCTGCTCTCAGTAAAGTGTGCATGTGCACTCATGTACAGGGCTAAAAAGTAGAATTCCTAGCAGTGTTGACTCCTTTGGATTATACATTGATGCTCAATGACATATGAGCCCTTTACAAGCCCTTGTGTCAACCAATACTATTCTTTGTTTTTCTTTTCTGAGAGGGAGAGGGAGAAAGACAGAGACAGACAGAGAAAGGCCTGCTCATTGATGCTTGATATCTATAGGGAAGATTTGGGTGCAAGTAAGATGATTTTCTAATATTTTTATTCATGACATTTGGCTGTGCACCCCCTACCAAAAAGGGAAAAAAAAAAAAAACCAAAAACGAGTGAAAATAACTATTGTCATAAACTGTGTGCTCCTGGGCAGCAAGATGCCAAAAGTTGTGCAGATGAAGTGAAATAACAGCAGGTTTTGGAGACGGTGGGAGTGTAGTAAGGAATGGTTTCCAAGCTGATGTTCGAAGGTATTTTTCTCCTGCTGCCAAAGAGGAACCTTTACTTTATGTGTGTGGGTGTTTTGCCTGTGTGCATTTATATCTATGTGTGACCTATAAAGTCAGTGCCTGCACTAGCCAGAGAGGGCGATGGACTGGAGTTAAATGGTTGTGAGCCACCGTTTGGGTACTAGGAATTGAACCCAGGTCCTTTGTAAGAGTAGCCACCTCTCTTACCCCCTCTCTCTCTTACTTACTTTCTCTCTCTTACTTCCTCCCCCCTCTCTGGGGCACCCCCTTTCCTTTTCCCTTTCCCCCCTCTTCCCCCACCCTCCATATCCCTCCTAATAAACCTCTTGCAGAGAAAAAAAAAAAAAAAGAGTAGCCAGTGTTCTTTACCACTGAGCCAGCTCTGCAGCACCAGAAAGTTTGTTTAGAGAAAGATCTGGCTAGGTGGCCCATGCTGGTTTGAAACTTTTAGGCTCTGATGATCCTTCTACCTTAGCCTCCCAATTACTGCCTCAAGGCACCTTTTAGGCAGGCTACTGGTCCTGAGTGTGAACTTTCCCTCTAAGTAGGATTTTGTTTTGTTTTGTTTTGTTTTTGAGGCAGGATTTTTCTGTTTAGCCTTGGCTGTCCTGGACTCCCTTTGTAGACCAGGCTGGCCTCAAACTTACAGAGATCCATGTGCCCCTGCCTCCCTAGTGCTGGGATCACATGCATGTGCCACTGTGCCTGCCTTTCTAGGATTTTTCACCTGGACAATTTCTATGTCTGCTGGCTAGTTTGATATCAACTTGACACAAGCTAGAGTCATTTAGGAAGAGAGCATCAATTGAGAAAATGCTCCCACCAGATTGGCATGTGGTACTGGGTGCAATAAGAAAGTCAGCTGAGTAAGTCATGAGAAGCAAGCCAGTGAGCAGTTTCCTCTGCATCAGCTCCTCCTGCCTTCAGGTTCCTACCCTTCTCTCAGTGATGGACTGTGATGAGGAACTGTGAAGATGAAATAAACCCTTTCTTCACCAATTTTTTTTTAGTCATGGTATTTATCAGCAGCAATAGAAACCCACTAAGATACAGTACTATCCCAAAACATTTTATCAAGGTTAGATGTAAGCACAGTGGAGGTGGCTGTTGCCCCTGAAATAGCAAAGTTACCCCAGAATGTCTCACCTCAGGCAGAGAGCTTGGAGAACTATACTCCTTTCAGTTTTTTTCTATTGTTGTTGTTAGATTCTTTCTATTGTCTATGGAATAGACAAACCAACATTGTTTAAGATGCTTTATTAGCTAAAATAATTTACATAGATAAATTAGTTCCTAAACCGTGTTATTTAAACATTTCTCCACTTTGCTGTGGGCTTTTGGCAGTTGAAAGCGTATTGAATGTGCTGCCAGTAAAGAAGTCGCTCTGTGTGTGTGCTTGCTAGACGGATGACTAATGACTATGGGTATATTTGCTACTGGAAAGGAACACAGGTTAGACCTGCTGCCAGAACCTGCTGCTAAGAGTCCCAGCTGCTGTGGAAGAAGCAGGTTTGATCTGTTTCCTCTCTGCCAGCCATACTGATCATGTTACCCTTTAAAACAGCAACTTTCATAAAACACCAGTATTAAAGAACGTAGCAGTGAGGTGAATGGAGTGGGTCAGGTGATTTCTTACACTGCCACCTGTGTGCCCTTTCCTCACACCCTGTAGATCACTTGTGTCTCTTCTTTGAGGGGCTGCTCACTCATGAGTGCCTCTCTAAACACTAGGTGGGTGTTACCTTTTTTTTTTTAAGACAGGGTTTCTCTGTGTAGCTTGGCTGTCCTGGATTTGCTTTGTAGACCAGGCTGGCCTTGAACTCACAGAGATTTACCTGCCTCTGCCTCCCTGAGTGCTGGGATTAAAGGCGTTAAGTCTTTCTCGTCTGACGGTTCTTACCGGGCACCGGTTGTGGAGTCTGATATCTGACCTGTGCTTTCAGTGCTCTGGATTTTGCTGACTTGTGTCCTTCTGGAGCAGGTCAGGTCTCTGGCCTGAATTTCCTGTAAATGTGCAGCTGGATCCCAAAGTTGATGTAGGTTCAGTCCCTGGGGCAAGACTCTTGTGGTTCTGTCCTCTTGGGTTTGCGCAGCTACTGGAGCTTTGTTCCTACAGCTAGTGACTCATTAAAGGAGTCCAGAGTGTCTCTCGTAGCTGCTTCTGTTTGTTACACAGCACTGCTCTCGCTTTCTGTTCAGTTGCCTCCTATTGCAGATGGCATAGGAAGGGGCAGTAGGCACCCAATTCTCCCCTTTACTGTTTCCAAAGCAGTGGCTGAGCTCTCTGTCATCCTCAGAAAATGAAGTGCTATTCCTTCACTTCCTTTGAACTAATGGATTGGAACATATTTGATTGCCTTCAAAACTCATGTCTCAAACCTCAGCCTCAACTGTCTTCTCCAGTGAGACCTGAAATGGCTATGTCATCTTTGATCGCTTCCTTGCTGTGATTCATTCATGGGTCTTGGGCATCACTGCCAGACTTTGAATTGGCTGTAAGAGATATTTCTAAATTGTGGTCTGGGTGGTAGGGGTAACTGACCACAGCGTTATTACCTATTCTTAATAATTTAGGAAGGATCTAGAGCAGTGGTTCTCGGCCTTCCTAACACAGTGCCCCTTTAACATAGTTCGTCATGTTGTGGTGACCCCCCAACAATAAAATTATTTTTGTTGGTACTTCGTAACTGCAATTTTATTACTCTTATGAATTATAGTGTAAATATCTGATACACAAGATATCGGATATGTGACCCACAGGTTGAGAACTGCTATCTAGAGGATGGAAGCACCTCCTGCATGCTGTGTCTCTGTCTCCTGATTTTTCCTCTGTGCATCCTGCTTCCCAAAGATGCTGAGGAGAGGTGTGAGCATCCCAATCCGTGTCACTTGCTTTCCCACATTACAAACAATGAACTCTAGAAAAATGCAGGCACCCACCAGCTCTCGTCATTAATCTGGGGCAGGAGTGGGGCTGTGTGAAGGCTCAATCAGAAGGATGTGACCTGCAATTATGGTTACTAAAAATTGTGTTATTAAAAAAATTTGTGTGTATGAGTGTTTTTCCTGCGTGTGTGTGCACCATGTACATGAATGGTGTTCATGGAATCCAGAAGAGGGTGTAGGATCCCTTGAAATTGGAATTACAGAGAGTTGTGAGCTGCCATGTGGGTGCTAGGAATTGAACCCAGGTCCTCTGGAAAAGAAACCAGTGCTCTTAACTGAGGAACCATCTCTATAGTCCCTGAAAAATAGTTTATAAGAAGGCCAATAGCTTTTAAACCTATGTTGTCACTGTTCTCCATCCACTAATGATGATCAAGCCAGATGTGGTAAGATCACAAGTTTGAGAGCATCCTGGGCTGTACTGTCAACAGGAAAAGTAGTCATTCCTTAGAGAATTGGCTCAGGGGCTACCACTGACCGAGAGTCTAGAATGCATGGATGCTCCGGTCATCTGTTTTAAATGTCTGGTACTGGGTATAACCTATGTGTCCATCGTGTTACAGAGATCTTTCATAGACTACTTAAAATTGCCAGTATGATGTAAGTGCCATATAAATTGTTCTTAAACTGTATTGGTTAGGAAATGATGGCAAAACCAAAAGGCTATACATACATGTTCAGTATGTCTGCACCCATCCCCCAACACCAGTCTGCAGTTGGTGAATTCCTGACCCATAGATAGAAATCAAATGATATTGTTTGATTTGGGAGGGGGGACGATGTGACTATGAAAGTCAGATATTTAACTTTCTTTTCTTTATTAGGCAGTCATTCCTTTTGGTTAGTTATAAGGTTTTTTTTTCAAGTTGTTAATTTTATTACAGTGTTTTGGTAATTCAAAATCAGTGACTCTAAATACAAGGTGTGTTTTGTTAATGTACAGTTCAAGGGCTTAACATTTTTTTATTAATTAATTTCATGTGTGAATGTTTTGGCTGCAGGTTTGTATGTTCACCACATGTGTGCCTCGTGCCCAAAGAGGCCAGAAGACAGTAACTGGAACTGGAGTTGCAAGTGTTTCTGTTAAGATCTACCACATGAGTACTGGGGTCTTCTGTAAGAGCAACTAGTGGTCTAACCATGGAGCCATCTCTCCAGCCGCCTAGTTTCAAGTTCTCCCCCTCAACTTTGGAAAACTAGCCCAAATTACTAGGTTTTTGTTGTTCTGGCCTCAAGCTCACAATGTCTTGCCTTGGACTCAGAGTGCTGAGACTTTAAGTGTGTCCCACCATGCCCAGCTCAGAGGCTCTGTGGCCTGTCCTTGTCTTCAGTATTTGTTAGTTTGCTCCAGGCTTTGTTGTTGTATTTTGAGACACTCATTGTGTTAGCCTTCTGGTCTGGAACTTCTAAGTAGACCAGGCTGGCCTGGAACTCACAAAGGTCCACATGCCTCTGTCTCCTGGTGTTTTCTCCTTGCACACCTGGCTTTTGCTCCAGGCCTTTTCTTATTTCTTTAGACTGTAGGTCTAGTTGATGTT